AGCTGACTCCAGATCACCCTCCAGGAACTTCATTCCTCTCTGCCTAAAAGCTCTTTTCTTTATTTTCTGCCTTTTCTGCCCTCTCCTATCTTCTCAGCTTTAAGGTCACAGAGGCCTGGGGATAGGAGTCACTCAACTTCAGCTCCTGGACCCCTGCATGCTCTCTAGATGACCTCCCCCCTCCACTACACGTCAGGCAGAAGGATGATAAGCAATTGCCAAGGTTGGCTTGGTCTCCAATTGCAGCAGGCACACAGCCTATGACCAGTCTCATGGAAGCCTCTTCACTAACCCAGGCAGTAGGTAGCAGGTAGGTAGCACATGCCTGTCTTACAAGCATAGGAATCACAGGCCAAAAAGGCCACAGTAAGGCCCAACATCACACACCTGTTCCGATTTGGATCTTAAATATCCCCCAGAGACTCATGTGGTGATGGTTTGGACCCTGGCTAGTAACACTATTAGGAAGTGGTGAACCATTAGGAGGTAGAGCCTAGTGGGAAGAAGTTAGGTCACTGGGGGCATGTTCTTGAAGTATTGTCAGGACCCATGGCCCCTGCCTCTTGTGCTTTTTGCTTCCTGGCCATCATGAGGTAAGTTGTTTACCTCAGGTATGTTGTCATAGCAGTAGAAAACTGACTAACACTGTAAGGCTCAAGGCCCATGTTTTTCCCATGCACCAGGTATCCCCTTAAATGTTATTTCATGTTTTCAAGGATGGCTTGAATTGCAAGAAACAGGACATGAAATCTATCTTCCATGTTAGATACGGGACATTCAATGCTTCCAACATCCCTGTCTCAGGGCAGGGTCAAACTGCTGAACCCAGGGCCTGTCAGGTGTAACTAGGAAGAGAAGAGGGGAGGACAAAGCACACCCTCTCTGGAGCATCTGGGCAGCAGAAGGTGTTATAGAACTCCTGGCAGCTTTCCTTCCCTACCAAATTGCAGTAGGACTTGCCAAGAACCCCAACTAGAGAGAAGGTAAGAGATGAAGAAGAACACATACCCCGGAGGCCCCTATAAAATGGTCCCAAGTCATAAACAGAACATGTAAAGAGATAAAGGGAATTGGGTCCCAAAGATACAACAGCCTTCTGCCCTGACACCCTAGCTGGGGACAGTGAGCCCCAAAGAGGCTGCAATCCCCACACAGAGATGGTAGAGATGCTACATCTAGCAAGGCACGGGCATGAAAAGTGGGGAGTGGTTTCCTGCCAATTGCATGCAACACTATAGGATACAGCCTCCTAAGCCCAAAGTAGTGGTGCAGGATGCAGTCGCCTGACTTCTTTTTGCTGCACTCCCTACAATGGCCTACTTGGTTTCTTAGTGGTGGAGCCAGCACTGCCCCTACCAGCTGTGCCCAACCCAATCCTAAGCCTGCTCTGGGTGGAGCAGATTCAACAGAGGAGGGACCATCCCAGTCCCCAAAGTCTGGCCCTGGTGGTGGGGAGTAGTCTGGAGCACAGAGATTCAGAGCATTGTAGAGTCCAGTTATCACTGGACAGCAGGTAACAGGAGGCTCATTCAGTGAGCTGTGCATCCAGTAATTTTCTCATTTGTCTTGTCAACATCCTTGTGCCATAGAGTGTCAAGTCCATTAGGTAAAGATTTTCTACTGGGAAGATACTTAAGCATTGAGTCCAGGAAGCAGTTAGGGGCCTGGGTTAAGGTGAGGACCTCAGCATCCACAGAGCAAACCAAAGGTATTTATTTACTGGAGTAAATCCAGTGGCACCTGCCCACACTGGAATCATCAGCTGTTACCTGAGCAATAGATAGAGTGGGACAAGGGTGCCTGGGGACCCCATAGCATACCACCATAGCACATATATGCCAACAGTGTTCTCATTCTGCATTTGAGCCCCAGGGCATTGTCTCAAAAGAACCAATCCAATGCAGATTTCTATTCCAAAGTAACCAGAAATGTGAGAATCAGAATGTCAGTCAGTCCATCATCTATCCCAGCCTCAGTGGATGAGCAAGATTAATCAGAGAGCTATCATCATACCCACAAGAGGAACTAGGATGGGAGCCTGAGCTCAATGCCTCTTCTAGTATCCCATTGGGGGTTTTATAATCATGGGAGCCAAGGGAAGGGTGCTCAACATAACTGATCAGCTTTGAGGTCTCCCTACCATCACCAACCACCACCAGGGCCCAAGGCCATGGCCACTGTCCAGCTACTATAGTTTGGATCTTAAATGTCTTCCAAAAGACCTATGTTTTAAAGGCCTGGTCCCCAATTTAGCACTATTGGAAAGTGGTGGAGACTTTAAGAAGTAAGGCCCAGAAGGAGGGCCTTAGGTCACCTGGGGGTGTGCCCTTGAAGAGGATGTTGGGATCCAGGTCTCTTCCTCTTCCTTATATTTCACTTCCCAGCCACAAGGTGAATGATTTCATTCCATCACCTACTCCTGCCACAATGTGTCAAAGCAACAGGACCAACCAATCATGGTCTAAAACTGTGAGCCAAAGAAAGTCTTTCCCTCATGTATGTGTTAGGGAGGCAGAAAGGTGAATTACACAGTGGACTGTGTCTCCCCTCTCATGGGAGTGCAGAATTTCTCCCACCAGAGACATGCATACCATCCCTGTCTCAATAACATAGACTAGACATTCTCCATGGAAGGGAGAGAGTTGTCTCAAGGGAACAAGGTCCTTAGGTGGGCAGAAAAACAAGTAAATGTCACAATGGTTTGTAGTCATCCAAAACTCAACCCTCAATGAAAAAATTTTATTTCTTGGTATTTAATTTTTTCTCTAGTTGGGAGAATTAATTAATTGCGGGCAAAGCAAGAAGACCCAACATGGTCTGTCCCACTCTCGTGGGACAGGGAATAAAAAAATAGTTAGGAAACGTTGTCCTAGAGAATCCCTCATTTAAAAGGGCTCAGGGTCTCCCTAGTTCACAATTTGGAGCAGTGATTCTCAACCAGAAATGACTATGCTCCCCCCCACAACAGGGGACATTTGGTAATGTCTGGAAACATTTTTTGGTTGTCACAACTTGGGGACATGCTAGTGCATCTTGTGGGTAGAGACCAGGGATAATGCTAAACATTCAACAATGCACAGGATGGTTCTTTCCACAAGAAAAAATTGCCCAGGCTAAAGTGTCACCATTTTGCTATTGAGAAAGCTTAGTTTAGAGAAACGGGACCTCAGGGGTGGGGCGGGGGGGGGGGGGGGAGGGGGGGGGGGGGGGGGGGAGGGGGGGGGGGGGGGGGGGGGGGGGGGGGGGGGGGGGGGGGGGGGGGGGGGGGGGGGGGGGGGGGGGTGGGGGGGGGGGGGGGGGGGGGGGGGGGGGGGGGTGGGGGGGGGGGGGGGGGAGGGGGGGGGGGGGGGGGGGGGGGGGGGGGGGGGGGGGGGGGGGGGGGGGGGGGGGGGGGCGGGGGGGGGGGGGGGGGGGGGGGGGGGGGGGGGGGGGGGGGGGGGGGGGGGGGAGGGGGGGGGGGGGGGGGGGGGGGGGGGGGGGGGGGGGGGGGGGGGGGGGGGGTGGGGGGGGGGGGGGGGTGGGGGGGGGGGGGGGGGGGGGGGGGGGGGGGGGGGGGGGGGGGGGGGGGGGGGGGGGGGGGGGGGGGGGGGGGGGGGGGGGGGGGGGCGGGGGGGGGTGGGGGGGGGGGGGGGGGGGGGGGGGGGGGGGGGGGGGGGGGGGGGGGGGGGGGGGGGGGGGGGGGGGGGGGGGGGGGGGGGGGGGGGGGGGGGGGGGGGGGGCGGGGGGGGGGGGGGGGGGGGGGGGGGGGGGGGGGGGAGGGGGGGGGGGTGCCGGGGTGGGGGGGGGGGGGGGGCGGGGGGGGGGGGGGGGGGGGGGGGGGGGGGTGGAGAAGCACCAAAGACTAGCAAAACTACTTACAAGCCTGGACCTGTTACAAGCAGCCCCATCCCTGTTCACAGAGATCCCTGAGAATAAGCCCCACTCTAGCCAGCCTAGCCATTCACCCACTGGTGAATGGTGGCTCCTGAAAGACAGGAAACCCCTCCCCAGTGCCTGACTTGGGCCTAGAACCTCCAAAATGCCAGAGAGATCAAGGCCCAGAAGAAAGGTCAACAATGTTCATTTGGCTCCAACATATGGACCCAGCAGGCAAAGCAAGTGCCCTACATGGTACTTCCCACTCCCCAGGGCAGGCCAGGATGGGGAAGCAGCCCAGGCTGGAAACTCCCCCTCAGATGCCTCCCTCCCTCCGTAGTTCAAGAAGAGGAAGGAAACCCAGAGAAGGCTGGATAGTGGTAACCTCATCTTCTGAAATGTTCAGGACCAAAAGTACGGATATTTGCATATATATAGTGAGATATCTTAGAAATGGAACCCAAACACAAAATGTGTTTCATATATACCTGATACACACAGCCTGAAAGTAATTCTACATAGTACTTTTAGTGTATCTGCATTGAGATCAAGTATGGAATTTTCCACTGTGGTGTCAAATCATTGCTCAAAAATTTTGGGATTATGGAGCATTTCAGATTTAGGACTTTTGGATTAAGCATGCTCAATCTATACCAACAACCACAGCTAACACGAGCATTTCTGGAATGCTCACGAAAGTCCTGCACCACACCACGTGCTTCATGACCACGGACTCATTTAGACCTTACAACCATTCAATGCAATAGCTGCTGTTATTCTCCCTGCTTCACAACTGAGGAAACTGAGGCACAGAGAAGTTAAGCAACCTGACCAAAGAGAAGAGCCAGGGAACTGGAAAGAGGGAATGAGGGAAAGAGAGGTGACAAAAAGGGAAGTGATAGCAGGTTTCAGATTCAAGATCTATCCTTCACAGCCATCATGGTCCTCCAGACTACTGAGGAGGGAAGCCATAAGGTCTCCTTCTTTACAGGTCAGCGTCAGATGCTCAGAAATTGTAAGGGACACATTGGTGAGAGGCAGAGCCAACAGAAGCCCAGAGTATCAAAAGTCCAGGTCCAGAGCTGCCTGGATCATGCCACAGGGACGAGAAGATAATGGGACAAGTCCCAGCTAGGGCTACTTACCTGAGAAGATTGAAGCAAGCCTGAAGATGTCTGAGAGGCGGGAGGTCACCGGCTCGTAGGGTGAGGCTTCATAGAACTCCTCACCTGGAAGAGAGACGGACATCAGACATGGGCTTCTCCCATCAGAGCTCTCCCAGCATGCAGTGACTGCTCAAGAAAGTTCCACTATTGTGCCTTTGCCATCGAGGAAGTCAGAGAGAGCAGTCCTTCCCAGAGTGAAAGTTAGGAATGAAACATTCAGCATTTCACATGGTCAAGCTATTTCTGTGTGACTTCCCTGAATGATCAGCCCTCTCAAAAAGGACTTCCAAATGTGTCTGGAACAGACAGAGAGGTGGGACAGGCCCAAGTCATAGGATCTGAAGCCCTGGCTGCCCCCCTTCCCAGTCCCAAACAATCATTCCATACAACTTATTCATGTCACAAGATAGGGCTCTGAGATGGCCCAGAGAGGTGAAGTCATCTGACAGAAGTCACACAACTTCTCATGTCAGAGTTAGTGCTAGATTCTGGTCTTGTAGCCCTCATTCCATGTTGGCTCTGCCCAGGTCACTCAGGAGGACAGAATTTCCTCTTCCTTCCTGTGATGTCACCAGTAGAATCTGGCTAGAAGTACTGAAGATCACAGAGTGGGAGGCCTGGACCTCTGCTCCCATCTGCCTGATTCCCTTTCTCACAGGTTCCCCTGACCTCCCCACCACCTACCATTTCCCAAACCTTTCCTTGGGACTTTGGGGTGCATCAGAGGCTCATGAATGGACAAGCAAGTAAATGACAGGAGATAAATGGCACTGGGCTGCTCTGGAGACCCCCACCACCTAATCAAGAATCCCATGCCCTCTGACAAGGAAATATCCTCAGGAGACCTGGCCAGTGAGGATAAATCAATGCATGCTCACTCAGACTGCATGTGTGGTCAGGGGGCGGGGCTGATATGGGGTGACCTACAGCCTCCTTCATTGATTTCCCATACACCAGGGCCTCGCACCTTTGGCAGACACCCCTGCCTACAGAGAGCCCAAGTGGGCACCATCCATGGTGCCACCTATAGGAAAGCATGAACTCCCCAGAAGAGGGGCCTGGGAATGACCCTGCAGGAGGTGCCTTCAGCCAGCCCAGAAGGCCACCATTAACAAGGCCTAGAGATGCAGCTAGCCCTGTGCTGGTCCATGGAGCAGAGTCCAGCTGCTGAGCTACCCCTCCTGGTGGTGGGGTCCCCAAGCCATTGCTATGTATCGGGCCCAGGAATCACTTCTATGGTAAAGATTGCACTGTGTGTTCCATGTGTCCACACATGGAGCGAGCGCTAGATGAATTAACTCACTCCATCCTCTTCACTGCTCTGTGAGCTAGACACGATGGTTCCTCTACTGTGCTGACAATGAGAAAGGGCAACATCAAGGAACTTGCCCAAAGCAACTTAATGCCATACAGCCGGAAAGTGAAGAGCCAGGTTTCCGACCCTAGCAGGTGGCTTCAGGGCCCAGTGCTTCGATCCTAAACACTCTTCCCAAAACAGCAGTGTTCTTGAAACTCTTTTTTAATGCCATACTGGGGTTTGAACTCAGAGTCTTGCACTTGCTAGGAAGGAGTTCTACCACTTGAGCTTTTTTTTTTTTTTTTTTTTTTTTTTTTTTTTTTGCTTTAGTTACTTTTAAGGTAGGATTGCACATTTTTCCCCGTGGCCAGTCTCAGACCTCAGTCTTCCTACTTACAGCCTCCTACATATCCGAGATGGCAGGTATGAACCACCACAACCAGATTTATAATCAAGATGGCGCCTTACTAATTTTTTGCCTGAACTGGCCTCAAACCTTGATCCTTCCTATCTCCACCTCCCAAGTGCTATCTGTTACTTCCTGCAGAAGCAAAGGTCTGCTGCTGACTAGACTGCTCCCCCGGGGCAGAGCCTGTCCTTCCCAACTGCATGGTTCAACCAGTGCCATTGCCTAAAGGGGGTTGGGGACCACCCTCTCTAAGTCCATTTATTTAAGTAGTCTGTCCCTGTAGCTGAATGCACCAAGAAATCTCAGGCCTGGGCCACTGAAGTCAGATCCAGGATGTCATATCTTGGGAACCAACACATGAGAGAGGCTCTCTTCACTCTCAAAGAATCCGTGCCCTGCAGACCTTTGCAGAAGGCAGGAAACCTGGCTTCAAATCCCATGCAGCCAATAGTGACAGCCCCACTGTGTAAATACTGGAGGTGGTAATGACAGAAGGAAACCCAGGCATGGGATCACCCCCAAGGCAGTGGGAAGAGGTTCAGTACCCCAGGTCTGAGCCTGGATTATGTCACCAGCTTGCTGTGTGCCCCAAACAGCCATCCCACCTCTCTATGCCTCAGCTTCCCTGCAGAATAAGGAGTGGGCCCCAGCAATACCCAGGCCCTTTACAGTCTGACTCCAAGAGCTCAGTGGTTATCACTTCAGAAGCCACATATCTGCCACAGCTGTCTTCTCTTCCTCCACTGCCACCCCAGCTCTGTTCACAGACAGAAGGCCTCAGCCATGCAGTGAGCTCAGCCTTGGATGGAGGGAGAAGGTAGAGCAAAGGCCAGGGTGAATCACTCCCACGTGCGGGGCTGAGGAGACGCAAAGAATGGAAGGAAAGTCCAATCCTACACACACCTCTCCTTCCCACCTCTCCTCTCCCAGCGGGTCTCGCCCTCCCCTCAGCCACAGGCCCAGCTGGGCCATTAAGTGTCATTAAGGAGCAGGGAGGCGGTACCTGCAGCCTCCCCAGGGAGACAGCTCCATCTCAGTGTGAATAATTAACTCTCAGGTAGACCCTGCCAGTCACAAGGACTTGGCCTGTCATTCAAAGGCCTCCTGACTTCCCCAATCAGCCCTGACAGAAGGTCTCCAACCCCCAGACCTAAGGAGAAGATGGAATCCCTGGGGAGACGAACAAGCTTCTGCAGAAAAGGATAAGCTGGGATGCTCTTCTGGATAGGACCCAGGGGAAAGTCTCCCAGTCTGCAGATGAGCAGCACAGGGACTGGGGTTTCTGCAGTGCTGCTACCCTCTGAGACACAAAGTAGGTGCTTAACAGATGGTTGTTGAGTAAATGAACAAACAGATCATCTCAAGGCTCAGAACCAAAGACAGCCATGGTCAGTGAGGCATTCCAGGTCTAAAGGGGCCCTGAAGACTCTGCAGGCACGCAGTAAATGCACACACATCACAAGCCCTGCTCTCAGGAAAATGAGAAACGCCTGTCTCTCATTACGGTCCTCCTACACGCTTAAGCAGTGATGCCAAAGGGGCTACTGAGATGGCAGGGCTGCCGGTGCTAAAAGGTCACTAGCTCTTCTAGTGGCAGTTCTTCTGTCCCCTCACTTGTTCACTTGTGGCCCCAGCAAGTCCACCCAATCAGTTGCTCTCAGAAGAAAACAGAAAGCAAAACTGCCCCCTGGATCTATCTTTGCTTATACATGCAAGCAAACTCTGGGTGAACAGGTCTTTGTCCCATGTAGGGCCAAGTGTATGTGTCCTTCCTTCTTGGCTTCTTCTAGCTCCAGGAATCAAGATTGCTTGCAAGAGGCGGCTGCCTGATGTTATTAATGGCAATAATACTATTAATAACTACACACACTTCCTACTATTTTCAGAGCATATTTGAGCCATCCTGGCAACTGCTCAGGGATCTCTCTCTCTTCAGTCTCCACACCTGCAGCTGAAACCCTCCTTCACTTCTAGCATCCTAAAGGAAGCTCCTCTCTGATCCAACCTAGTCCCCCACCCTGACCCTGGGCCTACCTCCTGCCCTCTCCCAGGGGCACCAGCACATAAAGAACTTTGTTCTCTTCTCCCAGCAACTCCATCACTACAGTCCTACCCCTGAATTTAGACTGTTCCACCCTCTCCCATCTTTAAAAAATAAAATGTTATTATCTGTTCTCTCCTCTTCATATCAAAATCCTCAGAAAAATTGTGCATATTCATTAAATCCAACCCTCTAGATCCCATACACTCCCTCACCAGGCTCCTGGTCCCAGAAGCCACCTAAGAAGCTCACCCCAAGGGAAGTGGGGGCACCTCAGTCTTTCTCTTGCTTGACCCGAAATACTGCACTGTTAACCATCCTTCCTGCTATCTACCTGTTTCCCGAGCATACCTCAGACTTCTCTCTTGGAGCCTTCTCCATTGCCCTGAAAGGACTCCCTTCCCTTGCCCATCCTTTAATTTTGGTGGTCCACGAGCTCTGTGGCTGCCAACTCCCGTGATTACACACACTCCCTTAGCTCTGGTTCCCACCCACAGGCTGATGCCCAGTTTGAAGCCTCTCTTTCCAAACTCACTTCCTCCCTAGCACTCCAGAACTGCATGTCAGTAGAACACAATCAATGACAGGCATGTGCCCCCAAATAAATTCATCATCCTCTTACTTAAAGCCTTGACTGCTGCTTCTAACCAGCCCATCACCACCCAGTGGAGACAGGAAGCTAGGTGGCCTCCTTAATCACTTTTTTCCCTCCTCCTCTCACAGGCAATCAGCCACCAAGACCTGCAGATTCTACCTTCTGAAAGCCGCTACATCTATCATCCCTGTTCTTGCCACTGTTCTGTTCCCATCATTATTATTCCTGGGCTATCCCACAGTGATGGCTTCTGGACAGTCCTACAAGAGACTCTCTCCACTGGAACCACATGACCATTCTTCTGAAGCATCTGATCAACTCCCTTAAAGTCTTTCGGGCTCCCTGTGCTCCCCACCTTGACTGCCCACCCTCCAAATTCTCCCCACCCTGCCCATGCCACCCCTTCCACCTCCTCACTCTTCCCACACCCCTCACCTTTCTAACTCTGACTCTCAGTCTCGGCCTGGAGGCTGCCTCCTCAGGAAGGCTCTTTAGACTTCTTAACAATTTGACGCTAGCCTGGGCAAAATGCTAAAGACACCCTATCTCAAAGAAGAAGTGGGCATAGTTCACACCATAATCCTAGCTACTCTGAAGGGGAGGGTAGGAGGATCTGAGGTCTGAGATCAACTGAGGGCAAAAGCAAGACCCTATCTGAAAAAATAAAGCAAAAAGGCTGGGGGTGTGGCTCACATGGTAGAGTGTCAGCCTAGCTAGCACAGAGTCCCTGAATTCAAACCTCAATACTGCCAAAACAAAAAAAGATTTTTGTGACAGGGGTTAGATGCTCTGAGGTGCTACCACTGCACCTGTGCCTTCCCCTCACAGCACTTTTGCCACCAAATGAAGAAGCCCTCTATGTACAGCACTCTACCAGAGACTATGAGCTCCAGGAAGGTAGAGGCTGCACCAGCTTATAACTGCAACTACCTAACACCAGCTGCAATACCGGACATTCATTTGTTGGATTAATAAATGAACATCCAGCCAAGATAGACAACCTTTATAAAGTATATGCAAATCCCCAAAACCCCAGTCTGGAGTAGGGGAGAATACAGTGTCCTTTGAGACAGAGCTATTGGATTCTGCTTCTGGCTTGAGGCAGGCTTGACAAGGGACATGGGATCTGCTGTCCACACCCTGCCTCAGCCATGGGGTTGGAAGTCACGTGATGTGCAGGCCTCCTGAGAGCAAGGCTCTGGAATCAGCTCTAGGGGACAGGGCTGCCGCATGGCAGGGGCTGGTTTCTCTGGGCAACCGGGCTCTGCACGCACTGCACGCACTGCACTCACTGCACGCACTGCATGAGCCTCTCTCCTATCTCACCTGACCATCCACCTGGAGAAGAGACCACTTCACCCTGCCCTTGCTTGCATCTCATTGTCCTGCTCTTCCTCCACCCATCACTTCCCCTTCCTCTATCCTTGGTTTTTTTCCTCACGCAGACATACACAACAGGCCAAGCAAGTCACCTCACTATCGAGTCCTCCTTCCTGAGCTCAGGACCCACCACGCAGCAGTCACCACCCTCCCTTGGGGCCGGCCCAGGCTTACCCTCCGTCAGCCCCAGGTGGATGCTCCAGTAGATCTGCAGACACTGCAGCTCCTTCTTCATGCCCCGCTTGCAGCGGCAGTCGTACAGCGGACTTTCCTGCAAGACCTCCAGGGCTGCCTGGCACTCCTTGTTAGCCAGCATGGTGTTGCGGTCCCGGCCCGCCAGGCACTGCCGCAACGTGCGGTAGCGGGAGCTGCAGTTGGATTCGGCCGCGCACAGCTCATTGGCCCGGACACAGTCCACTGGGGGACGCCAGCCGTGGAGCTCGGGGCCCTGCAGAGAGGAAGGGCTGGCCAAAGAGCGGAGGGTTTCGTCTGGGTGGTGGGGAGGGAAGACAAGCATAAATGAGGGCCACCACAGTCTCTGACCCAAGATTTAGGCCCAGGGCTTGGGCCCTTCGGGGAGCGTCACACCCACTGTACACCAAAGCACACCAAGGCCAACTCGGACCCAAAGGCTAACTCAGGCTGCCATGCTCCCTGGGCTCTATCGTTTGCACTCCGTTCCTTCTCAGTGTGGGCCCTGGGCCTAGGAGCACAACATGACAGAGCCAGGAAGACTTTCTCACTCAAGAAGAAAGAACATCACAGGCCAGGCGGTTATAGCCTCAGCCTCAGCAGAGAGCTGGAGCTGCAAGGTTGAGGGGGCGAGGGGGCGAGGGGCGAGGGGGCGAGGGGCGAGGGGCGGCAAGGGGAAAGGGAATCTTTCACCCAAGCCTCCTACCAATCTCTGCTCCAGCTAGAAGCCCATTCAAGGCATGTGTTAGCTTTGAATGCACCAGAAAGTCTTTAACTTTCAGAGCCTGTCTGAGACCTATACAGACCCTAGAGTCCAACCCCCACAGCTCACCCCAGAGAGACCCAGGTCCAAAGAACACAGATGGCAGCCCCAGGTCACCTACTTAGGCAGGAAAGCCCCCCTTCAGTCCCTAGCCTCCTCATTCTGAGTTGCTAGACTTTCCAAGATGACAGTGAGAGACAAGCCTAAGCCTACAGTCTAATGTTGCCCAGGAGGGAAGAGAGGCCCCTTTCGGGCCCAGTTCCTTCACACCTGCCAGTCCAATTTCACACCAGAGACCTGAAAACTTGCCAGCCATGGTCTAGTTCCACCCCAGACCCTCCAAAAGGAAATACATTATGCCAGCCAGGTGAGCATCTCCATCTGTCCATCTGCTCCTCCCCTCTTCCGACCTGCCTCTCCAGGTCTCCATCTCTCAGCTTCTCTTGCTTACTGTCTCCCAAGGCTCTGTTCTCAGTAGATCTCATCACCTTTTCTGTTTGAGTGACTTGGCTTTCTTTCCTCTCTTCCTTATACTCCCCTGAAACTCTCTCTCTCTCCTTCTGTTCTCTTATTTTGTTCTTCCTTCCAAAAGCCAAATCATAAATCAATTACAAAAAAGAAAGAGCTTCCCTTCTTCATGCCCTGCCTCACTGATTGAGTCTCACTTCAAAAACGGACGGAGAGGACCAACAACCCACCCTTCTTACCCACGCCCCCCAGTGTCCTCAAAAGGGAGGGGTTAGAAGATTCGCAGGTAAAGCACGGGAAGAGGATGGTCTGACCCTTTCAAAACCAAGCTTCCAAAATTGTTTCCTCCTAACATGGACATCTTCCCATCTCCCTTCCTAAGCACCTAACTCCAGATCCTGCCCCCAAAAAAGCCCTATCGCATGATCAGAGCCACGACTGCCTTTTCCAAGACCCAAAGAATGATTTAAGAGACTTCCTCCACTGTCTCTCGCTCTAAAACACAATAAAATCCTAGGTCATTGGTCCCTTCCTCCTAGAATACCCCAGAATTCCCCCCTTCCCTGCCCCCAGAGCTGCCATTTCAAGCCTTCTCCCTAGGAGGTCCTGCTCAGGGGGGAGCTACTGCAGGGGGACAGCGACACCTAGAGGCAGAGCATCCCACAGCAAGCCTGTCACTCCCCACAGCCCCAAGGGAAAAGGAATTACTCCCAGAGGGACCTGGTGTACCCCACCAGGAGACAACTGAGGAGAGGGGCCAGGGGGTGGCCTGGGGCTAGAGGAGGCATGGGAACCGGGTACTTGTCCTCCTCGCACTGACCACACCTCTGCCCTGGAACAGGAAGAGCTGAAGGATGTGACCACACTGAGACAAGACCAGAGTAAAACCAGTGCAGAGTGGAAGCAAGGGCCACAGGGTCTGCCCAGATTCCGGATAGAGATATGTCTTCCACACAAGCTGAAGTGGCATCTTCTTTCTCGGCTTCTGCAGATTCCTACATCCCTGCCCAGGACCCTGGTGCCTCTGGGCCACCCAGGAGCAACTGAGCCAACACTTCCCAGGCCCTCATCCTCCCAGCACCTGCCGGCCCCTCCCAGCCAGCCAGCCCTGGGTTCTCCACTGACTTTGCTCAAGGGTCTCAGGAAACTGACTGAACCAAAGGCTGCACTGTCCAGCAGAGACTAATAACAAGACATCTTCCCGGTATCCTCAGCCTTCTGCAGGCTCAGAATTCACAGGAGGCATAAAGTCAGGATAGCACCCTCAGAGCCGGGGCCATAAGAACACTCACTCTGTTTGCCCTGCATGCAGGTGGAACCCTGAGGGACGGCCTTACACAATCATGGGCAGACTCCCAAAGCAAAAGTGAGGGCTTCCCCCATCCTGCCAACTGGTCCCCATGATGGGGCAGGGACAGACTCTACAAAAGACCGGAACTTTTTTTCACCAACTGTTCCTGATTCTTATGGTCAGCTTCACAGTCCGCAGAATGAATCAACTCCAACCAGAAAATGTAATCATGGTAACCCAGAACCTTTAGCCAAGAAGCCTAAAGGAAAGAAAGGGCACAAGGTATCTTGGAGATGTTTCAAAAACCTAATTGAAGGAAACATCAAGAGTAGACATGGGGGGCAGCTCCTTAGAGACACAAGAGACTGAGAAGTGACACAGAGCTCTGTGTCCTGCATCCAGAGTCCCCAAAAGAGCCAGAATGTAGGCTAGGATGCCACTGTGAAGTGGGCCCAATGACCAACCCCCTGTCCGTGTCACTCCGCCCATTGTGCTCTCTCCCTGTACACCAACAGGGATGTCAGGATGATCAGGTATCCACTGAAGTCATCTTACCCAAGACCTCCTCAGAACCTTGGTTAGGGCACCTGAAAGCCCATGTTCCCAAGAGCACCCTTCACCATGTCCCAGCCAAAACTGCCTACCAAGTCTCAAGCTCCTGAGAAATCTCCAACCAATCCCAACTATGGACTCCTGGCCAGAGAAAGGGTCCTGGAGTTGACGTTTCCTTCACATCATTCCTTGTCTTCCTTTCAAGACCCTTTCAGGATCCTGTGGTCACTCAGCTAAGCCCTCAGCTCAGCTTTGGGAAGGGACTTCTCAAGGCACAGGGAATTAAAAGGCTGTGACCCAAGGAGATGCCAAACATCCCCTCCTCTGATTTTGCCACCTCACCTTTCGCCACTCAGTTCCCAGGTCATAGTCAATGGGTGGTGGCCATCTCTGCCACATCCCAGGCGTGCACACACACACACATACACACACCCCATGAGTAGGATCCCCAGTACCACTTCCGGGAAGAAGAGGAGAGCAAGCTCTTCATTCTCTTGGGACATCCAGCCTGCAACATGAGGGTCGGGGCCTTGAAGGTGCCTCTACCCCGAGCCCTCAGAAGGTGCCACGCCTGGGAGCCTTGCTGACCTGGGAGACAGGGTACAGCTCAGCAGCAGGCAGTCTGGCTGCTTTGCCTGAAATACAATTTTCTTTTTTTCTTGGCCCTGATCATTCTAAGCCCCAGAAAGCTGTGTTTTCACACTAGCAATGGGAGAAAAGGTCAGGTTTTATAACAGCCCCTTCAGAATGAGAGGCCACTTCCAGAGGGTTGCCAGAAAGGGCTGCAGGATCTTCCTGGGCCCAGAGCACCTTCTAACCTCCTGGTGCTGTCTCTCCCACACCAGAAAGAAGCTGCCACAGGCTGAAAGAGGCCCTGGCCACACCCCAGTCCAGGGCCTTGCTCCCTGGGAACGCTTACCTGGGAGGTAAGGGATAGTGGACAAGCAAAGGGTCTCTGACCCAGTCAACGCAGAATCCCATTGATTTCAAATCCCCGGCCCCCACCTGGAGAGCACTTCTCAGACCACACACATCTGTGAGTAGTATCTATATCCCCATTCTGGGCCATCCCCAGCCCTGCCTGGCAGCCCAGCTCACCCCGGGCTACCAGCAAACCAGGGTGGCTGGAACAGAACCCTGAAGCAAACTGTGCGCGCCACACACACACACACACACACACACACGCACACGCACGGCACGCGCACACACACACACACACACACACCACACAAGAGTTCTCCAGCTCCCTCTTGGACACCTTCTTCCTGGCACCAGCTTTGCCTGGAAGTCATGGTCAGCACACAGCCTTGCAAACACCTTCTTTTCCTCACCTGCACTAAGAAATTGCTTTCTCTAGACCTTGCTTCCCAAGCAGCTGAGATTCACACAGCATAAGAGCAGGCAAGAGATGTGGGAAGAGGTTGTGGTTCAGGGGCACAGGACAGCTCCTCCTCCCTACCCTGGAGGGAAGAGGCTTACAGAATGAGCAGTGATCTTTGTTAGGATCATTTTCCTCCCTGGTTCCCCACCTTCTTCACCCCCAAGAAGCAAACTTTGGCCTCCTCATTCTCTCCTCTTCCCCCAGCTACTGGCCCTGGACCTCAGATGTGCAGGAAGATGAGGCTTTGAACTTCCACTTGCAACCCTGAGCTCCCGCCCTGGCTGGGGGGAGGGGGGCATAGGATAGGGCAAAACTTGCAAAGTGTTCCAAGGAGTAGGGAAATAGGGTGCATTTTCCAGAGGTTGATTGGCAGGTGGGGTGGTGGCTGCCCGGGCTCCCCAGAGATGTTCAACCAGGAGCTCCTGCAAAAACCCTGGCCCTCCTCCCAAAAAAAGGTGGGACTGGCATGATTTCTCTCTCCCTGCCACCAGCTTCTCCCCTCTCTTCCTGATCAAGAGTTGTATTTTTTTTCTTAAGTTGCCTTGGCCGGAAACTGACCGGCTCCCGGGGCTGCCGCTTGTGCTCAAACCCACGGAAGCCTCCGCACCCTCCTCCTCCCCCGCAACGCCCTCTCCCAGCCGCCGGCCGGCTGTGCCTGCCCTCCAAACTCCCGCTGCCCCTGTCCTCGGCCTCTGGACCGCGGAGTCTCGGAGGCCTGGGGAGGTTGAGCAAGGTTGGAGGGCACTGAGTCCCGGTCCCCGAGCCATCCGGAGGCGAAGGACCGCAAGGCGACAGAAAACCCCCGGTAGCTGAGGTCTGGAAAGGGGCTCCGGAAAGGGCTCCACCCTCCGCGGGCTGATGTGTCCCTCTGTCCCGCAGCCGAAGCAGAGTGTCTCCCGTTGGTGCAAGGGAACAGAAGGACACGCTGCGGCGCAACCCTCGCACCTGAAGCCCCGCGCAGCCTTCCTGCCCCAGTCTAGCCCGCGCGCCGTGCATACACGTGTGAGCTCCATGCGGAGCTCGAGAACTTTTCCCCGCACAGCCGTGACACTCTGTCCCCGCCCGCCCCAATCTCGCAGCCCTTGAGACGTCC